TTCGATTAACCACTCCACAGTGTAAGTTTTCAAAATTTCGCTAGTGTAAATGGCTATCCCTACCTTTTTAGAGAGAAAATGGCCGACGTTTAATGACACTTAGTTACCTTTAGTACGTACTTGTAAAGACAAGACTGATTTTGGTAAACGATATACCCAATAAGAAAATAGAGGGTGGGTGGGCGGTCCTTGTATTTGCTAAGATAAGACTGATTCTGGCAAATGATATACCCTCTAAGAAAACAGAAGGGGGTGGGCGGGACGAGTACTTACAACTTAAATGACTGATCCAAACGGAATAGGCGTGCGTTGTTTTAAATCTTAGGTTCTATCGTTTTTCAAAATAGAATTCAATTCTATTGAGAAAATAAAATAAGTCAGTGAAATGAAACGAAATTTCTTTTTTATAAGCTTTAGTTTTGTATACCCTACTCGTGGGCGATGTCATTTTGTAAGTAGTTAAAGTTTACATTGCCTATTATTTCCTTGACAACTGTACAGAACTGAGCCAAATTTGTTTATTTCCCAGTAAAGTTAAAATTTATTTCACTAATTACAGGGTCGGAAGGCCCGCATAGGAGCGTTTGATAAGCAAATCTCACTCTCTTGTTATGTACCTACACGTTCGTCTGTGAGCTATTTTAGTTTGACGTAATGTCTTTGGTAATGGGTCATATACAAATCAATAATACCAACTACATGACGTGTACTACAGTCGACTACAACTCAACAGGTTTTTGAATGTATGGCGTATGTTTTTTAAACAGTGTCACAATCATAAAAACTGTGGTATGCAGTGGTTACTACTGTTATTTGCATATATTTAGTAGGTAAAAGAAGACAATTCGTTTTTTTTAATACAACACATATTTTTACATTTACCGCTTCCTGGAGTTTAAAAACGTACTCTATTTTTGAAATTCCGATGCGACGTTGTCATGTTATTTTCTTGAAATTTTTTAGCAGTGTAAAAATACACAAAACAATCGTAATAGGATTATTTTTAAAATATGGTTAAATTAAAGGTACGTTCTTTGTTGTGTAAATTAAACTGAGTCTTAATATGCAGAGTGTTTAAAAAAAATCCTACAATATTACAATTTCCAAATATTTCACTTTTTTCAAGTAGAACATCAGTATCTTAACTCTGATTTTTATTCTCTTTCTTTATTGTTAAGTATTTTCTAGACCTACATATCTAAAGTTGATAGCAATTTTTCACCTTTTTAGCAGACACATTATCGAAAGAAAGAGAACAAAAAAGATGCAGTAATAATATTGTTACGAAAGAAACCCGTACGCCGCCTATGGGTCTTCTACCATGTATGTGTTTATTCTGTTATATACGGCGATGACTCATCGGCCGCGCGGCGCGGCGTTCGCTGACGAAAAGCCTGGAAGCGGAAGTCACGATGGGCAACCCAGAAAACCCTCAAAGGGGCGTTCTTGAACCACCGAGATGAACGTATAGGTTTAAATAGAGGCCACCGTCGGGAACGAGGATTATTCAGTAAATCGAGTTCATGAGAGTACAGTCAAGTTGCGAAGGAATTATTTTGTACATAATCGCTGTGTAATAATCGGTCGTGTAATTCGAGTTATTAAGAAATGAATTGTTGAGTTTAACTCACGCCGTTTTTAAATCACCGGTCATCATAACAATATACAGGTATTCTGTTTGAAGAAACTGAAATATCGATATTTGAAAACTGTAATATTTTAATTTATTATTATCTGTGTTTACCTCTCCAATATTTGTAACACAGATTATTATTTTTATTTTGTGAACCCTTGTATTGCTAAAAGGATTTAAGAAAATTGGCCACATCCAGCCCCACAAATCAAAAATAAAGTATGGTTATAAAGGCTGTAATAACGTGATGAATCCAAATAAAATATTTAGGATGTTCCATTAAAAAAAAAAAATAGTTGTATGCTACGCTTCAAAAACAGAATCTGTATACAGTTGAAAATAAGTTTAGTGCATGCTACTCAAAGAACAAAGTAGAAAAAAAGTCGGAGACCAAAGTAGTATGGTTCTATAAGTAGCACACACTAAAATTATTTTCAACCTTACAGAGTGTTCTGTTTTTAAGGCGTAACACATAACTTAGGTTTTGCAAATAGAATACCCTATATATTGTTACGTTGATCGGCGAATAAATCGGCGTGGGTTAAACACAACAATTTATTTCTTAATAACTCGGATTTACACAACTAATTACAGAGCGATTATGTAGAAAAATAATTCCGGCGCAACCTCTTGACTCAGCTAGCTGAATAATAATCGTTCCCGAAGGTGGCCTCTATTTAAAACCCATACTTACTTCTAGATTTGCGCAATCGGAGCCTTTCTGGATTGCCGTTCGCGACTTCCGTTTCCAGGCGTTTCTTTAACGCTGCGTCGCTCGGTCGCATTGAGGATGAATCATCATGAGGCGGCGTATGGGTTTATTTCGTAACAATATTTTTATAATTATATTCTAATGGACCTCTTCTTAAGTTTTATAACTAGTTTATTTTTTAAATTCAGATGCGACGTTGTCACGTTATCCCAATTTTCTTGAAATTTTTTAGTAATGGAAGAGTTCCCATAAAAATTGCGAAATGATTATTTTTAAAATCTGTGTTTCAATATTTTGTGGAGAGATAAATAAAAGGTACCTACGCACTTTATTGTGATATAAATAAAATTGAGTTTTATTATACACGAAGGAGTCACCTGTAACTTACCAAAGTTTTGAGACGTCGTAATCAGTTTTTTGAAGATGAGCAAATAAAATTCTAGTCAGTGTTTTAGTGAAATTAAAAAAAAAGTCGTTACGCCATTTCTTAGGATAATTTTGATTTCGGTAACTTTTTTATTGTTAATCAAATTTTGTGGATGCCATTATTTCTTTGAACAGATAAATATAAAATTTTGAAGTTGAAATTTTGACATATATAGTGCAATACAACTATTATTATATTGTTGTGTTCCTAAAATTGCCAAAAAATTAGTGATACTGTTTTTGACTGAAACATAAACGAAACTAATTTTTTTAAATTAATTTTAGGCATTCTGTGTAAGTAATTAAACCAATATAAAATATGTAATCAAAATATAAAAAAAAAATGATCGCAGAGTATATTTTTAGGGAAACATATGTATTTTGATTCTGGTAATTTTGCGCACGTCATCATTTCTTTATGGGGGTACCTACATGTAAAATGTTTGATGTTGGATAAAAAATTTTAAACGACAAGCTTCTGTGATTTTAAAAATCATAATTGTAAATCACTCCTTATTGTCATTTTGACTGACGTTTGAAAATAAATTTGAAATTTTGGCACTTTGAATTTATTTTGTCAACAGTGCCAGAGTACCATGTTTTAATGAAGTCAAAATTTTTGGTTGTTCATGTGTTTGAGGTTTGTGTACATTTAGTTAGGCAAAATAAATCTAAAGTACGAAGTCAGTTTAGAAGTTCATAAATCCAAATTTACACTTTAATGTCAATATAATTTGAAGTCGTTTGAAATTTTTTCTCCGGCATAATACAGTGGAATACTAGATATTAACGATTATATTATGTTCCTAAAATTCCAGAAAAATGTACCTAGGCTGTTTTAGAATGAATTAAAAAAGTTCTTTTCCCAAACACGTCGTAAGCATCACGCAATTCAAAAAAATGCATAACCGAAATATAAGCAACATTGGATCTAATAATTTTTGGAAACGACGTCAGCAGATTTCAGGAGGGGATAAATGGATCAAGTTGAATCAATGTTCTGTAGTCGCTGGATCAAACTTAATGTCTTCTATCACGATATTCAAATGTATGTTATGAAGGTTTTAAGCAAATTTCGTTTACGTCAATCCAATTGCGTAAGGTTAAATATGGATATATAATTACATTACAGATAAAGGAAAAAAAATGTGAGATTAACTTACAACAAATATGAAACATAAATTTCAGCACACCTAAAATTTTAATATCGACATTTTTTTATTTTACCAGCTCTGTCGTCAAAATGAGTTTATTATAATATTTCTCTAGCTTTTACTCGAAAGGTACACAGATTTTTTAAATCAATAATGTAGTACCGAGTCACAGACCGAGTGATCATTATTGTATTTTGATTTTTTTTCCAGGTTGGCAACATATTCAAAATTTTATTGTGGCATTCTTCATTGTCACCAAGTCAGTATCTCCCATTTTTCCATCATGTTTGTTATAAGGCGCTCTCATGCTAATAATGACTGACAACTGTGAACTGGTACTGTTGACACATTGCTGCCAAGAATTCAGAATTGCCAACACTAAAATTTGCTTCAATCATTAATAATCACCCGGTATTTCCAATTTCCACGAGATTTTTAAAACAATGCACCACTATTACCTCAATAATGTACCTACCTGTATAAACTATATACATTTTACATGTGATAATTACGTGTCCAATAAAAATGTGTGACTATTGTATAAAAAAACTGCTGAATACGCCAAGGTAACAACAACGCTAATAAGTTTAATACTATAATTTATGTGTTAATTAACATTCAAACAATTTTTGTTGTCGCACAACTTCATTGTTGTGAAAAGAAGAATACGTATATTAAGAAAAAAAAAAAAAAACAAAATATAGGCCCCACCCACCCGCCCTGTCTCAATTGTGATGAAATTTTCATTCGTTGTCAGACCAGCATAATCGCAAAATCGATATTTTCCTACAAACATTTACCATTATAAACATGTTTTAAATTTCTTGTTGTAAAAAGAATAGGTATATTAAGAAAAAAAAAAGCCAAATATAAGCCCCGCCCACCCGCCCTATCTCAATTGTGACGATTTTTTTTATTTGTCGTGAGCTTAATTGGAATCCTTATTTTTCTCCATGAAATTATCATGTGAAACACATTCTTAAATAATCGTGTTCTTCAAAGAAAAAATATTTTATCACCAACCAGTGTATATATATTATACTGTATTTGGGTTTAGGTTTAACAAAACACAAAATCAAAGTATAAAATATATTTATTTCTAACAAATCACATATTTTTAACAAATTCAGATTTTTCCTGTAAATCTATATTTTTTATAGTTTGCATATATGATTTTAAAAAATTCAGTGCAAGGGTTGCTTAATACCCTCATGAGGTACTGCACCGCATGTTGATCACACAGTGCAATCAAGCTATATATGCAATTATTTAAATGTTTCTGAAATTGGAACAGATTAACATTTATTGTACTTTAAAAAGTCACACGTACCTTGACGTTAGGATCCATTGTATCTAACTCATACTGTCCTAAAATATCAGCAATCAGATACATCGCAATTCTTGACATATCCTTCGTACATTCCACTAGGTTCTTCGTCAACTTTTCTAATTTATGAGCACAATCTGCGAGTTTCTGTGCTTCAGTTGGTTGCAACGTCACGTGAGAACTACCTCTGAGACACAGTTCTTTAAGTAAGAGTCTGTACTGCAGCAAGTAAGGAGGCAACCGATCCATGATTAACGGGTTTCGATATTTTAAAAGATTTTCCAAAAGTGTTATGCTTGAGCTGAAATTGTGGATGAAATCGTGTGAATCTTTCATCAACAGAATCGACACGGATGATAGCAAAAAGTCTATTAGCGATGCAGTTAACGGGACCTACAAATTAAATAATAAATTAGTCTCATTTAAGACTTCCATGACAAGAGGCTATTACGTGATTTGCCTGAATAATTGAAATCTTAAATTGGATAACTTCTTCAAATAAGTCGTCTTTATATAACCTGGATTTCAACAGAAGAATTAATTTTTCTAAAAGGAATTCCAGTTGTTCACGTAAAATGTTCGTTTTGGCGGGATTAACGTTCGTGGATAAAATGCAAGACCAGGTTTTTAAGTGTTTGCAAAATTCTTTATCGTCGCCTGACTCAATCGACCGTTCCTAAAAGTATTTGTTAAAAAAAATTATAAAAAAATAACCGCAGCAATTACCGTAACTTTCATTAAATTTTCAAAAATATTCGAAAAGTGTTCATTTGCAATTAGGGTTGTAATTAATGTCACCAATTGTGAATATTCTTCCAAACTATCATTCTGAATAGTTATCGTCTTCAACGCGTCCCATATTCTCAAGATGAAAGTATCACTAAAGTCTCCCAAAATAGTTTTGTTGTGTAAAATTGTAGTAAACAATAATAAACACGCTTTACTATTAATGTTCGACATGTTGTTGAAACTGTATTCAACGTATTCAGGCAAACACGTTTTTAATTTAGATAACGTGTCATCTTCATCTTTAGCTAAAAATGTCTTCAACACCAGTCCAAACACTTCGATTAAGCGGTCCTCTGGACTATTTTTCAAAACCAGCTTCAGCATTTTGTGACAGATATCCGACTTGTATTTCAAACACACTTCTTTTGATTTCGGCGACATTTTAACTTTTCTTATTTTACTTAACACATTGAAAAGAGTTACCGCAAATCTCAGACATTTATCTTGTCTGAGATTGTCTTTAATATATGAAACCCCTGGCTCGAACTTGGTAATCGCTGTGTCGTTCTTGAATACATTTTGCACGATTTGAAAAAATAAATCCTCACTACTGTCGAAGGAATCCACTAACGTTTTGACGAGAACTGAGGAATCAAAAAGATCCAATAAAGTAAATCTGTTGTGTTGTACGATGCTAATAATGAGTTGTTCACATCTTAGTTTCATATTTTCGCAGTTCTGAGAATCTTTGTGTAATGCCATCAGTAGTAATACTGTCAGTTTTTGAGTGCTTTCTGAACAAAAAATTAGAGGTATTTTGGTTAAAAGCTCCAAGTACAATTCCAACTTCTCTTCCTGCATTTTTAAATCTATATTTTGGTGGTGACTTTCTGACACTAGAATTTCTGATACACTCCCCAGCACTTCTTCGATTCTGCCACAAAGAAACATATCTGTAGGTAAGAATGATATCGCTTTCGAACATAAAGCTTTCCGCACTGATGTATCGTCGTGTTTTCTTTTTTGTTTCAGTAATTTATTGATTTTCGTAAAGATGACACAAAGAATGCCTTGAGTTATTAGCTGGGAGTCATTAATATGGGGCTCATCAAGTACCTTCGTGTTACCTTCAACTAAATCTTTAACAAGAATTTCTGCCAAACTTATAATATTAGACGTGGGCATTTTATCGAGGACAGTGTTAACTACAAATCTGTCTGAGAAAATGTCTACTGATTCTGCGTCAAAACTTGTGGATAGTGTTCGAATGATCGGTGCTACAACGTCATTATTGCCGTCGCCAAAAATGAGGAAAGCTCTCAGTTTCTGAATCAATAGTTTTTGCTGTAATTAAAGTTTTAGTTTTTTTTTATTGTGGAAAAGTCAAACAAACCATAATTTTTTTGCACGGTTTTTCTCCAAAATTATTAATTCTTTCTGAAATGTGGCACCATTCTTTGTTGCTTAAATATGGGTGGATGTAAGTTAGGTTGAATGCAGAGAAATTGTTGTCCAGGGTTTTGGTCATTTTAATTTGGTTGTTAACTGAATAATACTCCAGAGTCATGTAAACTTCGGCCCAGTAGTAAGAAATATTTAAAAAAGCTCTCATTAAAACATGATTCTGCAAAAAAATATATGTATGTACATTTTGTTTCTAAAGTTTATGGTTTTTCGTTTTACACTAATGGTGGATTCATAAACCACAAGTACAACAGTATTTTATTTTAGCAAATTCAAATGATGTCTCTCGAACAAAAAACCGTCATCAAATTGTTTGTGGGGATGATCATACAAAATCTGGTTAGCGTTTTACGATCTACACGATATTCGTAATAGACATATAAAATTTGACAACAATCGGTCCGGTAGTTTTTGAACATGGTCTATATAACAAAAATTGATACAGACAGACGGAAACGTGAGACCTACCTCATGAAACGTTGAGAAAACCTGAAACATCTTCTAGCTTACCCTAGGGAGGGAAAAATTGTAACACTCGTAAAAATGAATACCTAATTAAATAATTTGGAAAAATTCCAAATTCCGAGAAAGTTTCACATAAAAAAAGACATTTGGGGCCCCCGAAAAGGTTTTATATTTTGAAAAAAGACAGAAGGGACCCTCGAGGTTTCTAAAAAAAAAACATTTGGTGCTCCCGAGAAGGTTTCACATTAAAAAAAAAAAAAACATTTGGGACAGCCGAGTTTTTATATATTGAAAAAAGACAGTTGGGATCCCCCAGGTTTCACATTCTGAAAAAAAAACATTTGGGGTCCCCAAGAAGGTTTTACATTTTTAAAAAAGACAACTGGGACCCCCGAGAAGGTTTCACATTCTTAAAAAAATCATTTGTGGCCCTCGAGAAGGTTATACATTTTTAAAAAAGACAGTTGGAACAACCGAGAAGGTTTCACATTCTAAAAAAACCATTGGCGCCTCCGAGAAAGTTTTTCATTACATTTTTAAAAAAGACAGTTGGGACCCCCGAGAAGGTTTCGCATTCTTAAAAAATACATTTGGGGCCCCCGAGAAGGTTTTACATTTTTAAAAAACACAGTTGGGATCCCCGAGAAGGTTTCACATTTAAAAAAAGAAACATTTGGTGCCCCCGAGAAGGTTTTACATTTTTATAAAAGACAGTTGGGACACCCGAGAAGGTTTCACATTCTTAAAAAATACTTTTGGGGCCTCCGAGAAGGTTTTACAATTAAAAAAAAACACAGTTGGGATTCCCGAGAAGGTCTCACATTTAAAAAAAGAAACATTTGGCGCCCCCGAGAAGGTTTTACATTCTTAAAAAAATACATTTGGGGCCCCCGAGAAGGTTTTACATTTTTAAAAAAGACAGTTGAGACCCCCGAGAAGGTTTCACATTGTTAAAAAATACATTTGGGGCCCCCGAGAAGGTTTTACATTTTTAAAAAACACACATTTAAAAAAAGAAACATTTGGCGCCCCCGAGAAGGTTTTACATTTTTATAAAAGACAGTTGGGACACTCGAGAAGGTTTCACATTCTTAAAAAATACTTTTGGGGCCTCCGAGAACGTTTTACATTAAAAAAAAACACAGTTGGGATTCCCGAGAAGGTTTCACATTTAAAAAAAGAAATATTTGTCGCCCCCGAGAAGGTTTTACATTTTTATAAAAGACAGTTGGGACACTCGAGAAGGTTTCACATTCTTAAAAGATACATTTGGAGCCCCGAGAAGGTTCTACATTAAAAAAAAACACAGTTGGAATCCCCGAAAAGGTTTCACATTTAAAAAAAGAAACATTTGGCGCCCCCGAGAAGGTTTTACATTTTTAAAAAACACAGTTGGGATCCCCGAGAAGGTTTCACATTAAAAAAAAGAAACATTTGGTGCCCCCGAGAAGGTTTTACATTTTTATAAAAGACAGTTGGACACCCGAGAAGGTTTCACATTCTTAAAAAATTGGTCTAGAGTTTAGACAGTACTTCCCTCGCTGTCGGAAACTTGACGACTGCATGGCTATTGTGTTTTTTTCTCATTACATTTTTGTAGTGGGAATTTAAAAAAAAAATGCGATGACGTCAACATTTTTGCAAGGACACGTATATCAGTTGGGATAGATGTAGTGTAATACTAAGAATAGAATTATTGTATTCCCAAATTTTCGGGAAAATGAATTGGGTCGTTTTGAATATTGATTTTTTATAATCAATAAAATAACGAAACAATTTACTCACGTATACGGCAACTGAAAATCGTTTATGTATAAACATTCTTAATTTAAGATGACAAGCGTAACAGCATACGTGAGAGTCAAACAGAGAAACTGTAAACAAAACGACCATCGGTTTTATTGCTTCGACTTCCGCTTATTATATAAAACATTGGGTTTTATTTTAATTCTTGACGGTGAAATTCACAATTGGTTGATTATAAACATGTCTATTTCACATTCGCGGAACCAAGTGATCGCATAAAACAAATGCAGGTCTGTAATGTTAAAGTCGATGTAAATAAGCGTGCCACCCTTATGTTTCAACCGAGTTTTTCCTTTAACAAATTTTGTGTCTACCAAATTGGGTTGGTTGAGGTGTAATACTAATAATAAGTGTTGCCTTTAATTTAATCAATAAAATAAATTGACTTCATTAATTTTTTTGAACCACCTCTTAAGAAAATCTAAAAAATATGAATGGAATGATAAATCACAAGTACAAACTCATCATATTTTTTGCATTTTAGATAGGATTTATTCAGCAAAATTTAAGGGTGACGTCATCAATTTTTTTAGGAGGGATGAACAAATACATTTTGAACAAAAGTTTACCATGCTTATAATAACTTTAAAATATTCCCAAGATTTCAAAGCATTCGGTTTTGTAATTCCTGATTAAATCGATAAAATAAATTCACGCCTTCATTAATTTTTTTGAGTCACCCTGCATATGCAAATCCAAAAATATGATTGGAATGATAAATGACAAGTACAGACTCATCATATTTTGTACATTTTAGATACGATTTATTCGGCAAACTTTTGAGCTGACGTCATCAGTTTTTTGTAGAAGATAACCAAATATATTTTGACTAAAAATTTATTATGCTCTTTATAACCTTAAAACATCTGCAAGATTTCAAAGCATTCGGTTTTGTAGTTCCTGATTAAATCAATAAAATAAATTTACGCATTCATTAATTTTTTTGAGTCACCCTGTATATGCAAATCGAAAAAATTTGAATGGAATGATAAATCACAAGAAGAGACTCACCATATTTTGTACATTTTAGATAGGATTTTTTCAGCAAAACTTTGTGGTGACATCATAAATTTTTTAGGGGGGACGACCAAATACGTTTTGATCAAAAATTTACCATGCTTATGATGATTTTAAAATATCTTCAAGATTTCGAAGCATTCGGTTTTGTAGTTCCTGAGTAAATCAGTAAAATAAATTTACGCTTTCATTTATTTTCTTGAATCACCCTGTATATGCAAATCCAAAAAATATGAATGGAGTGATAGATATATATATATATTTTTAAAAAATACAATTGGGACCCCTGAGAAGGTTTAACATTCTTAAAAAAAAAAATCATTTGGGCCCCTTGAGTGTTTTACATTTTAAAAAAAGACAATAGGGACTCCTGAGGTTTCATTCTTAAAAAAAAAAGGGCCCCTCGACAAGATTTTATATTTTTGAATAAAGGGGTGCATTCTCACCTTTTCAGTCTTTTCAGTGGGGTAATTTCATTAATAAAAAATTGGTTATGACGTCATAGATATAGGTAATATAATACACAATGCGAGAGAAATAGAAAAAAAAGTAGAGAGTCGGTCGCTCAAGAAGTAAAAAATGAAAGGCCAAGTTTGGAATCGAACGCGCGACGTCCGGTCCGCATCCCTGACTCGTAACCACTAGACCACGACTTGGATGCCTTACGCTAATGTTAAACTGTTTTTGTACCGTGCATTATGTTTTTGCAAAAATTTGGAAGGTTATGGAAAAAATCAAAGCGGATTCGTACACTACACTTATAGGGCTATATTGTTGTATAACAGTTAAATCAAATAAACAGAATTCTTTGAAAAGACGCCATCAAATTGTTGATGGCGATACAGACACCAGACAGACAGACGGAAACAGGAGAATGCTTTTTTCGTACTCTAGGGGTCATGAAACGTCGAGAAAATGTAAAAGTGGCCATTCGACCAATGGACTCGATTACTATACTTCTTTAGCTTACGCTCGGGAAGTAAAAATTTGATAATAGAAAGTGTACGTTAATTTCAGTGTAAAGTCGCAGACAAATTTAAATCACAAAGTAGATTCGCAACAATAGCCCACACTTCTATGTCAAAATTTTGAATCTTTAACCACTACAGTGAGTGTCAAAATAGAATGATGTGACAGATTTAATAATTCACTTGACATATAAATGACATTGGCCTTAACATAAATTGTTACCACATTGGTTTGTGGTTACACTCACATCTCTGAGTATCGCTTATAATATACAAATTTCCTGAAAATTTTGACCCAAATGACGTTTCTTTATCACTAATCAGTTCGGTAGTTCGAAGATTACTTTTTCAATAAATTTCCAACAAGCAGATGACTCAAAAAACAGACAGAAAAATCCAAACGTTAGCAAAGTGTCATAGTACAATACCCCACTTCGCTATTGATTAGTATTTTATAAAACATATGATTTATTTTTAACTTTTAAAACTTTGATATTATTTTACTGAAAATCTTGTTTACTCAATTTTTTTCTTGAATTTGTATTAATGATGCCCTTGAAACTCCTCCGCCACTGTACCACGGGGTAATAAACCTGCGGTATGTTGGTCACACATTGGCTGTATACGGCATGCTACATCATTCTATTCTTTTTAATATTTTTGGAAACACCTGTATATATTTCAACCTATTTTTTCAGTTTTTGCCATTTTTGACACTGCGGGTAGGCTGACACTGGACGTGACGTAACAAATCTTTTAAATTTCAAACGTCAAAGTGACAATAAAACATAGATTACATCGAAATGTTAAAAAAATGTCGTTCAGATTTTTTCGGTAAGTGAAGTGAAGACAAAACTTAGCGACAAAGTGGATTCGCAACAATAGTTTACACTTGATTTGTTCAAATTTTGAAGTTTTATTCACTGGCCATCAAATCTAAGTGTTGGTCATAGTGACACTATGGTGTTCACCTAAATTTTTACCACATTTAACTGAAGAAAAACATAGTTATGCAACCAGCTTTTCGTTTCGTATATCCACAATACTATTCTTCGTTATAAAATGTAGTTACAATAATAGTGAAAATACGTACGTGTTCTCGTTGTAATAATTTCGCCCCAAATTGTCCCAGGATTGTTTTCAGTTCTTCCAAGCCTTCAGCAAACTTCACAACCGTATTTTCCGCAACTGTATGTTCAGCCACTCGAACGCTCAGTAGTAACCAACACGTAAGACTACTTAAAATTTCTACATAAATATTTTCTGCAACTTAAAATATTTTGCAAATATTGAAAATGAAAAAAAACCATGTAATTACCTTCTTGAACTTCTGGAAGTTGTTCTACAGCCTTCTTTAAATGAAACGTCATTGTTTTGAGTAAGTTTATAGTTTGCCAACTAGCTAGACTTATAATGCAACTAGTAAAATATTCTAAAATTACTTCGGGGAGAATGTCGTCGGCACTATATAAAATGTCTGTCTTTAATTGGACATCCACAGTTCCTCTAAAGCTATAAGGCAACTCATTTAACTTTCGCTCTTTAATTGCAGTCTGCAATGTTGGTATCATCTTTGAGATCAAATTTTGTGTTCGATGCAATTTAGAAAATACTTCAAATATTTTAATCATGAGTTGTTCATATTCTTTTCTACAACTGGTGTTGTCACTTAGCATTACATACACTAATATCTCATTAACCAAAGACTCAATAATCAGTGGATTAATTTCTGCAACTTTGAGTAAAATTTGATAGCAACAAATGTTGGGATGTTGAGATAACGTGATAACGGATTTTACTAATTTTTTTATAAAATCGGAAAACGTGATATCATTTATTTTACTCTCCAAGTCAACTTTTAATTTAGTTACTGTATCTAAAAGTTCATTCAAAATATACAGCGCATTGTTTAATGATGGTTCCTGAACTTGATACTTCAGTTTATTAAAATTAAATTCAGTCTTTAAATCAAAACCACAAATCTCTAACAAAATAACCAACATTTTATAAATGTTGTTAAAATTTTTTGATGACTTGGAAAATGAGTAAAAAAATAATTTAAACCCAACGCCAGCTGATTCCAGATTAGAGCACAACGAGGCACAATATTTAAATAATGCTTTACATTGAATATGTTTTTCAGTACATTTCTTTTTTTCGAAAAAGTCAGTGAAGTAGCAGATGAACTCCTTTGAGCTAAAAACACACTATTTCTTTTATTAGTAATTAAAATGCGTCATAACATAGCTTACCTTCTGAATGACCTCTGAACTCGCCATAAACACTTTTTCATTTTCACTAAACTTGCAACATGTATCTATTAACGTTGGCACTAGCATTTCAAGAAAAATGTTAAAAAAATCATCTCTCTCTCTTATGAGTCTGTGAAGAGTGCCATCGTCTTTTAAAAATGTTATATAATCATGCGAGTCTTCGATTTTTGTAATAATGAGTTTATGCAACTCACAGTATTGTTCTACATGGAATTTAAAATATCGCAAGACATTTTGGTTTTGCAGTAGTGCAGTTATTTCTTTTTGACATGGTTTCTTGTCAGCATTTTTAAGTTTCTCTAAGTAGTTCACAACATCTTCTTCTGTAATTGAAGCTGAAATACATTTGTTGTAAAATGTTGCCGCCTTTACTGGCTGAATTTGTTTATACCATAAATTTTAGGTTAAGTACAAATTATCAAAAAAGAAGTTATTTTTTAGTGACTTACACTTTTTCACTTACCAGACGTTAATATAGGATCACCTTCCAAAAACATGTTTAAATTATAAATTCTTTCAGTATTTGAAGATCAAAATAAACTTTTAAATCCACGTGTTTCTGTACCGCATGATGGGGGTAGATGTCAATATTTTGCCAACCTTGCAACGTAAAAAACTTATTTTCACTAAATAAACAAAAATGTATTGAATTTATCACAGCTGATATATTTGTAAAAATAAATAAATCTGTACAATTTATTAACTAATTATAAACCAGGAACGAACGGTTGCAACATATGTAATTTCTTTGTAATATATTTGAAATTTAAGTTGGTGTTAATTAATCCCCCAGAAGGGCCCTCACCAAAATATCAGTTGGTACATCTGCTACACCTTCTTTTCCACTAAACCGCAATGGCGCCGACGTAAGTAACCGATGTGTTCTGAAATTTCTTTAATCATCACTAAAATAACAACTAATTTATAAAAAACATTACTGATTTCTAACGCTTAATATCGTATTAAAAAATATTACGCTAATATTTTTCACAATGTATGATTTTTACAAGTTTCCAACATGTTTACATCTGACACCATCGCCAATGTGTTTTTACCCATTTGACGTTAAATTTGCTTTTGTTTTTTAGGGCTGAGAAGAAGACCAAAACGGTTAAGGGGCTGCCTGCGGTCCCTGAGTCCGTTTTAAAACATCGGAAGAAGCGCGATGCGTATAGGGCAAAACGACTTCAGTCAGCAATCAAAAAGAAGTCTGAACATGTGAAGAAACGAAAAGACATCTTCAAGCGTGCCGAACAATATGTAAAGGAGTACAGGCTCAAGGAACGCGACGAAATTAGGTTAATTCGTCAAGCCACAAATAGAGGAAACTTTTATGTTCCAGGAGAAGCCAAGTTAGCTTTCGTAATCCGTATCAAGGGGTGAGTTTTTCTTTGTTTGACTTCGTGGGCAGTTTCTTAGTGGTACACGGTTTAATGTATCATTTTCCATGCTGTCCTAGAGAATTTCAGCCTAAACAAACGACATTTTTGAATAACGAAATGTCACTGATTTAGGTCTGAAACACTGATTTGCTAAATTATTTAGTTTTCATAATACTGAAGTTAAACTTTTTTAGTATTAATAAAGTGGCACCCAAGGTTCGCAAGGTCCTCCAGTTGTTCCGTTTGCTCCAAATCAACAATGGCGTGTTTGTCAAGCTGAACAAAGCCACCATCCACATGTTGAGAATTTGCGAGCCCTACATTACATGGGGTTACCCTAACTTGAAGTCCGTTAGGGAACTTATCTACAAGAGAGGTTTTGCTAAAGTAAATGGGCAGCGTATCCCAATTACCAGCAATCAGATTATTGAAAACCGTTTGGGACAAAGTGGGATCATTTGTATGGAAGATTTAATTCATGAAATTTTCACTGTTGGACCCAAATTTAAGTATGCCTCAAACTTCTTGTGGCCCTTCAAGGTAAGTTGACATTTTGTTTTCAAGCCAATGTGATCTGCACGTTACGCGTGTGTGTACTGTGTTAAAAGAATGTTGGTAGAGTAAATCTTGTTTATCCTCCCTTTTAATTTAATTAATGATTTTAAGGGGTTGGAAACGCAAGAGACAGTTTTGACATTTATGTGTGGCTGTAGTTTAATTGTGTAACTTTTTAGCTAAACACTCCAACTGGTGGATGGCGCAAGAAGACAAATCACTATGTTGAAGGAGGAGATTTTGGTAACCGAGAGGACAAAGTTAATGAACTCCTTAGAAGAATGGTCTAAGAAATGAGACAAGTTTATACAATAAATTATAAAAGTTGAATCCTTGTTTTTTTTTTGCGTGAGCTTGGTGTGGGTAAAATGCAAAATTTATTACCCCCAATTAAAAAAATACTGTTTCAAAAATTAAAACTGAGTGAATTGAGTGCTATGAGAGGGTAGGTCGTCGTGTATTGTTGATTTTAAAAATTTATATATGCAACCAACAATATACTTGAAATTGATATTACAACATGAACCTATTTATATGGATTTCTGGCCCAGTCTAACCATTCTTATCTAATTCAGCTTAGATAAAAATTTGCAAATAGGACGGCTACAAAATGAGGTGCGATGAGCTTTGTGCCAACAGAACGCAGCCAATATCAAGATGGGGTAGTCTGTGATCAAGAATAAACTTCATCATTGTCAATATACAGCGTGATCAGCAAATACTGTTACCGATTCAAATGCTTACCGCTATATGACTTTAAGGCGCTCAAGAAAGTTTGGTTAGAAACATTTTACTATCTAATAATAATTATATGTATGATCTGTGGTTGAAACTAGAGACGTTATAAACATTTTGCAATTTTAATTAAATAAGTAGTTAGTTTATAATATAATTTTTACGAAAATTAAGAAGCACTTGTTATTTAAGACAGTCAAAGCACAGGTCAAACTTTCTTTAAAAACCTTTAAAAAATTAAAATTTGCTGTAGCGCCATCTCTGGGTTTAAATTTGAACTACAACAACGTGTCGCCTAAGAACTTGTTTGATCTTCAAACTTACAGACCAGAGCGCGCTCAGGGGAGTGTCGACTCTAAGCGTTCAGAAGCGATTTGGTTGGTTTGGACACTGTTTCACTCGATTTTAATATGCAACTGTTTTTTTAATTAACTAAGAATTAATTCTTTAATTGTGCTTTATACTAGCAAAACGTCTTAAATCAATAACAATATTATTGAAGTCGTAATAATCCAAAATTAAAATAATCGAAAATTTGAAAAGTCGAAAACCTGAAAAAAGTAAAATTTAAAAAATCTAAAAATTGAAAAAAACAAATATCGACGAATTGAAAATCGAAACATCAAAAATCGAAAAAATGAAAAATTCAAAAATCTAAAACCGAAAAACGAAGAATTGAGAACTCAAAAGTCCTAGATTTAAAAAATCGAAAAATTGAAAAATCGGATAATTGAAGATCGACACATCGAAGAACTGGAAAATCGAAAAATCTAAAATCCGAAAAGTAAAAAATCGAAAATTTGTAAAAACGAAAAATTGAAAAACAGAAAATCCAAAAAGTCGAAAGCTCGAAAGATTAAGAAATCGAAACATTTGAAAAATTCTAAAACTTGAAAAGTTTAAAAATCTAAGAACTGAAATGAAGAAATCGAAAATTCCAAAATTTTAAAAATTGAAAAATTGAAATATCAAAAAATTCAGAAGTCAAAAATCGAAAAGTCGAAGAATCGAAATATTGAAAAATTTCAAAACTGAAATGTCGAAAAACTAAAAATGAAATAAAAACTGAAAAATCCCAAAACTAAAATGTACAAAAACTGAGAATTTAACAAATTGAAAAATTGAGAAATCGAAAAATCAAGAAAGTGAAGACGAAAAAACGAAACCTTAAAAATATCGAAAAATTGAAAAATGAAAAACCTGAAAAATTGAAGAATTGAAGAACAAGAAAGTCGAAACTCAAGAAATGCGAAAATCAGAACATCGATTAATTAAAAAATCAAAAATTGAGAAAACGTAAAACTGAAACATCGGAAAATTGAGAAATAGAGAAATTGAAAAACTGAGATGTTGTAAAATCGAAAAATTGAATAATAACCTGAAAAATTCCAAAACTCAAATTTCGAAAAATTGAAAATCAAAGAAAAACTAAAAATCGTAAAAACTGAAAAATCTCAAAACTGAGATATCCAAAAACTGAGAAATTAAAAAATTGAAAAATTGAGAAATCGAAAAACAAAAAAGTGAAGTCGAAAAATCCAAATATTGAAAAATTGTAAAATTAAAAACCTAAAAATTGAAAAATTAAAGAATTGAAGAACTGGAAAATCGAAACGGTACAAAGTCAAGAAATGAGAAAATCAAAACATCGATTAATTGAAAAATCTAAAAATTGAAAAATTAGAAAAGTCAAAAATGTAAAAACCGAAATATTTAGAAAACGTAAAATTAAAGAAACAGAACTGAAACATCGGAAAATTGAGAAATCGAAAAATTGAACATTGAGGAATTGAAAAATTGAGACGCTGTAAAATCGAAAAATTGAATATGTAATAAATAATGTGAAAAATTCCAAAACTAAAATTTTTCGAAAATTGAAAAATGGAAGAAGAACTGAAGAATGGAAAAACTGAAAAATCTCAAGAGTGAAATATCCAAAAACTGAGAAATTAAAAAACTGAAAAATTGAGAAATCAAAAAGTCAAGAAAGTGAAGTCGAAAAATCGAAACCTTAAAAAATTGAAAAATTAAAAAATCAAAAACCTAAAAAAGTTAAAAATTAAAGAATTGAAGAAATGAAGAATCGAAAAACAGAATTTATGAAAGTCAAATTTGAAAAATTGCAAAAACCAAATATTTAAAAACCGTAAAATTGAAGAGGAGAAAAATTGGAAAATCGTAAAATTAAAACATGGGAAATTGAGAAACCGAAAAATTGAAAATTGTGATATTGAAAAATTGAGAAATTAAAATATCGAAAAACTGACAAATCGAAAATTCAAAAAAGTGAAGTCGAAAAAAATAGAAAAATTGAAAAATCGAAAAATTGAAGAATTGAAGAACTGAAAAGTGGAAACAGTCGAAAGTCAAAAAATGGGAAAATCAAAACATCGATTAATTGAAAAATCGTAAAACTGATACTTCATAAAAGTCAAAAATTGAAAAATCAAGATATATAAAAATCGTAAAATTGGAGAGGAGAAAAACTGTAAAAACGTAAAATTGAAACATCCAAAAATAGAGAAATCGATAAACTGAAAATCGAGAAATTCAAAAATTGAAAAATTGTAAAGTCGAAAAATTGAATAACAAATAATCTGAAAAACCCTAAAACTGAAATTCCCGAAAAATTGAAAAACGAAAGAAAAACTGAAGAATGGAAAAATTGAAAAATCTTAAAAAACCTTAAAAAATTGAAAAATTAAATCAAAAACCTAAAAAATTGAAAAATTGAGACATTGTAAAATCGAAAACTTGAAGAATAAATAAACAGAAAAATCCCAAAACTGAAATTTCGAAAAATTTAAAAATGAAAGAAAAACGGAAACATCCGAAAACTGAGAAATTAAAAAATTGAAAAAATGAAGCCGAAAAATCGATACCTTAAAGAATAGAGAAATTGAAAAATCAAAAACCTGTAAAATCGAAAAATTGAAGAATTGAAGAACAGGAAAATCGAAACAATCGAAAGTCAAGAAATGGGAAAATCAAAAAGTCGATTAATTGAAAAATAGAGTTTATATAAAAGTCAAAAATTGAAAATTGGACATATTTATAAAATCGTAAAATTGAAGAGCAGAAACACTGAAAAAACGTAAAACCGAAACAACGGAAAATTGAGAAATCGAAAAACTGAAAGTCGAGAAATTGAAAAATTGAAGAATGGAAAAATTGAAAAATCCGAAAATTGAGGAATAAATAAACTGAAAAATCCCAAAACAAAAATTTCGAAAAATTAAGAATTCGAAAGTTGAAAAAGCAAAAAATGGAAAAGCCGAAAAATCGAAAAATCTCAATTTCGGGGATAAAAATTCGACGCGGACAAAGACAAAGTTACTTTTTAAGATATAAAGTAGTTGTCAAGTTATTTTATTTTATTATTAAGATAACTGAATAATTTGATTTTTTATTATCATGCTGCTCTTCTTTATCTGTATGTTATTCAACAAATGCGATGTAATCATGTGTATGATTGTAACACTCACTATTCAGGTAAACCAGCGGTCAAGACCTTTGAAATGTAAATTTTGTCATTCGGGAACATTATGTACCATTGTTAAGATGTTCACTTTTTTAAAGAAATCGACTTTGCAGAATCTTTAGTGACACTTTTACAACAGTCAAATATTTTGTTCTTATTTTTAAAATTAATTGTAGCACGAAAGCAAAATAGGATTTATGGTCGGACCCTGTTTATTTCGCTGAACATTATTAAAACAAAAAGAAGTCAACAAATGAACTAAAAAATTTATTCGTTGTGAAGTCCGACCAAGCAATTCTTTCCCGCAGAAATTATGGTCGAACACAGGTCGAATTGGCTAGGATGTGTATCAGATCACGGAACAAGGCTTAAATTATAGATCAAATAGTTTTTGAACGCTTAGAGTCGACATTGGCCTGAGTGCGTTCTGGTCTGTAGATCAAACCAGTTGATTAATTTGTATACTGTTCTGAAATTTCAAAATTTCTGCTCTTTCTAACAAAAATTAACATCAGTCACTTCAAAATTGAAATATTCTCGCAACGTGGGAGGCACACCAAATCCCTTGATTTTGATTTTGATCGCATTTGTTTGTTGTGAAGACACTTTTTATTTAATTATTAACGTGAATTAATATATTTCTAAATATAATTTAACATAATGTAAATCCTTTGTTGTTTGAAATTGTTGGTAAATGAAGTTAATAAATTCTTTGGGAGTATGAAATAAATATAGAGGGAAGGTGTAAAAAGAGTCAAATCCATTTCTCACTTTTTAATAAAAACAAATTCATATTTGGCAGTACACATGTGGTTTTAATGCATACATGTCGTCATTTAATTTATCTTCTTTATTAAAAATTATTTACAAGTTTTACGTGTAGCTTTAATAAAAGTTTAGATAGATTTTAAGTTATTGTTTTAGTTAACGGTAAAATTATGATATTGGAATATGCGTTTTTCAACACATTCGTTTTTGGCTGTCTTTAAAATTTGTCGTCTTTAGTAAAAGGTTATTTACACATGGTCCTTTTAGCAATCAGTTTTAGAACATTGACCAATTTAAAAATAAATTTGAACGTTCTACTCTTTGTATATCTACAATATTTTTGCAATACATGCAAACACTCAGGAAACTATTGACAATTTTACTCGTGAGTCGAAATGTAAATCCTTCTTCTTTTTGGGTAGTTGTGTATAATAGGTATCAACTGAAATGCAATTTTAGTTACAATTTTACATGGCAAGTGTGGACATCCACTTGGTTTCGATGGAAAGAACTATGTATACACACCTTTACAACCTATTTTTGTTCACTTTTTGCAACATGTGGTAGTATTTACAGTTTTAACCTATCTAAACCATTCAGCAGTTACAATTTTCAATAAAAAGCTTAATTAATAGGTAACATTTCAAATGGTTGACACATTTTTTTATAATTACATACTATGACTGAAAAATTATACATTACTTACATAAGTTTTAACAGAAAGAACAATTCTTTAGAACGCGATATAATTTACATGTGTCTGATTAAAATTTAGACTTGTACTATAGACTACGTTATTCGTATTCTGGTAAAAGTGTAAAATCTAATTATATTGTTATTTTAATGTTTAGGCCTAAATTCATAACCATCTTGAAAATGTATCGATTAGACATGTTCTTTCTTTAAAACAACTTTTATCAAAAATCTACGTACAATTTAAAATTATATTGTTTCAAAAAATGACTAAATCAGTACTTGGATTATGTACAATGCAGTCTGGTTATTTACAATGCACTTTCAAAATCTGCTCAATTTTCACGGAAATATTGTATATAAGCAAAGTTCTGCAGTTATTTTCGTGGTCAATAACGGTTGGTTATGCAGATGAGCAGATTTTTTCACATTTATTAAGGGTTTTTTAGAGGCCCTTAAGCTCAGTGTGGTAAAAAGCATTGTTTCAGGAAGCACCACTTACTAATTTCGGTTTTATATTGGCATCTTTTTAAAGCATGGTGAGTTTTTTAAGGAAACGGAAGAACATTCACTTTCTGCAAACGCTTTTGAAAACTTTTTTCATTAAGATTCTTTTCTTATCGATTGAGTTCACTACAGAAAGTTGGACGACATCAGATACATTTCAAGTTTTCTGCGTCTTTGCAGAGATGCAAATCTTCGTCACATAATGACAGATCTGCGAATTGATATAAAATCTACGTAACAAATTTAGACGCTCTGCGTTTTCAAAAGTGCCGCAGAAACATGATAAAATTTGGCAACTAGGTATTATTTTACTTTGATCCCAAATTTCAGTGGGTAACTTTCCAACCCGTATAATACTTTGTATACCTATCGTTAAGGTAATCTACTATAAATACTCCAAATCGAGGATTACTCGGAAAGAAGACAACGCATCTGATGTGACAAATCAGAAATGAACACCAAAATTACATCGAATTTTTATACAAACGATCGACTCTAGAATGCAGAACGCAAGTATAAAACCCTCAAGCGGAAAACCCATAAGACTAGAGAACTTATCGTTAAGAATGGAAAATATCGATTTGTGCTTTCATACTTTTTCATAAGACGTTTCAGTTAGTGCGGTTTTACGTTTATTGTTTCATAAAATGAGACGATTTCTCATCCTTTCACACAATCGATGATTAAAAACCACTAACGTTTCGTTCGAATTGATTACTTTTTATCTAGTTTTTACGTATCACATTGAACATGTAGGCTTATGCCCCAGGAAATCATATCGAAGCCCTATGGTTGGGGTATATCGCCGGTGGGGGCAATATTGGCCCTTGGGGAAGATGAAGCTCGTGCATCGGCAGAACAGGAAGCAAATGCCGGATTTGCGTGGGTGACCTTCGTACTGTGAACCTGCAAATATTTAGCAACAATGCAATATACTACAATACAAATAGGTTACATATTATATTATTAATGTGGGTTGTACTGTCATCGACAGCTTTTATACACACATTCCTTTAAAATAAACTTGAATTAGTTTTATACCGACATTTTTTACAAATTATCGATTTATTGGATCAGGTGAACAAAATATTTGCAGTGTAAGTTTCAGTAATAAAAATCAGAGAAACGTTGACAATCTTTGTGTTCGTCCAACATAATTAAAATTTTTGTTTACTTTTAGTTTTACACTGGCATGTTTAAAATCCATTACACAAACGTGATAAGATCTTTATGAGCAAAAAAAAAAATGCATAAAAATCTGGTAGATAATACTTATTAAACGATTAACTTATTTTAAAACAGGTTTTTATTTGTTCAGTTTTTACATAAAGACTTTTTTTATTTGGTGCTGTTGTCAAAAGTATGTGCAAATAATATGATTTGTGTGGAAACAAACTGTGAATAAAATGCTTAATTGTTTAAATACATTTATATTTTTTTTAATTTATTTTTGTGACTTAATTTCAGTTGAATAAAATTATTATGTTATGAACACATTTTTTTTGAGACAACACGTGGCGAGTGTTATTTTAGGAGGGTTCTACCCATTCAATTTCGAAGTCAAACAAACCCTCTAAGTTTAAAGATACAACTCCTCGTTAGTTTATTTACAACTCCTGGATAATAACTTCGTGCTAGTACTTAGTAGCCGTCTCGTTAAGTTAAAAATTATAGACAAGCTTTGTTTAGTCAAATTAAATAATAGCACAGGGGCTATATCCCAGAAACCCCGAAAATTTTAGTAAATTGTGGCTGCTATCCTCTTCTGGGACTAAATTAACCTTTATAATAATCACTTCTTTATTTACAGCTATACTAGTATATAGCAACTAGTTGCCCACCATCTTTCTCGATCTCAGGCAGGACGAATCAAGATTGAACACTTTTTTTTTATTTTGAGAACCTTTCGACGACATTTAAGAATTAACAGTTATTAACTGCTTTCATAAGCAAGTTTATTCTCTCTTCTGGTGATTTCAAAGATATACTTTGAGAACGTAGTGTATAAATAAGGAAGTAATTATTAAGTAGGTTAGTTTTAGTCAGTGTAAACAACCACTCAGTCTTGTCGAATGGAGTAAATTTCTTAAACTGCACTCTTTAAATTTTTATGGAATTCTATTTATATTTTTTTCAATGCATTTCGTATATATAAATGGTAGACATCGAAAACATATTTCCAGTTACGGGATATTTAAAAAATATATCGGCAAACATTTATCGCCTAAAAACCGGATAAATATTTTTGGGTTTTAAAAGCCTAACATTACGTGTAAATTAAATTTTCCGCTAAAACGTTTTCATTGTGTCGCAATTTTTACGCGACCATGTAAACAGGTTAAAAACCTTTCAGAAACATACAATGTGTTCATGTATTAAATTCGATAAAAAATTCAGGAAAGCTAATTAAAACAAATATTCGGACGGCAAACACTTTCATGTAAACGTTACATTAATACGAATAATTTTCATATTTCTGAGAGGTAATGTAAGTTAGCAAAAATAAACACTTGGAAAAATGTAAGCTTTGCAATATTACTGGCAAAATCAAGAAAGTTGCTGTAGAAAAAGTACACCAGAATTATTTGTTTATGTGTGTACCACGTATCTAAAATTTGTTCGAAATGTTTAAGCACGGCAAGCTTTTACATACCTTCTGAAAAAATCAGGAACGCGTTTTTATTGTTTAAAATGTCCCACAGGTGTTCCAAAAAAAGTATCAACAAACTTATATTATCGATTATCTCAGAAATGGTGATAAATGTCACCAAAAGTTTATGACGTCGCCGTTGTAGCAAAAATTTATAGAAGTAATCTTTAGAGTACATTGCTAAAACGCATCGTATCACATCGACTGGTCGAGTCCCAAGCGATTACCGTTTCATAAAACGAACGTTTTGGTGCTGATCTCGAATTTGTTAGCTTCAGCAATTTGATACGCGCGTCACAGCTCCAAATTTTACAAAAGTTTACAAAGATATTTTGAATTCGCGCGCAAATCCGGCTACCGAAGAGCGTCACAGTTTGATGACGTCAGTGATATTTTCTACCTACTGCTGTATTTTAGAGGCAAGGAAAATTCTGTGTAGATCACGTTACAGATTTTTTTTAATAGAAAATATCGTTTAATTGTTTTTCATCTATAATAAAGGTTTCTGCGTCAGAAAATGTATACATTTCAGTTGGTAGAAGAATTTTGTAATATTTAATTTATTCATGGACAGAGTATCAATGACAAAATAATATGGTTACTGATTGCAGAGAATTGCGTGGAATCAATTAATGCTGTATTTTGTTTTATTTTAGATTTTATTTGTCCTACTGAGTCTGTGATATCAAGACTGAAATGAACCATTTTCAGTATTAGTTTTTCCTAGGCAGATATTTTGATATATTTACCTATGGTGACATCTGAAACTTATACATATACATATATTAACATTGTTGATATAACTACATTCCCTTCAATATAAACGTCAGACTTACGTCAGGGTTCCGATTTTATTGCTTTGCACACCGTCAAGATTGTAACGTGATAATATCGAAGTAACGAGAGTTTTGCAAATTCTAAATTATTGTTAGTGTTTTTCGCACATTATTTTTGTGTACTAAATAAAATTTTATAGCGTATTTGTGTTACGTAGACGGTTCTTGTACTATCAGCCTGGAAAATATTTACGTCATTCTGTGACCACAGTTCCATTTTGAAATTTTCGTAAACGTTAGGGTTGTATTCAAGAAAATAGTTCAGCAGAGATTTGCTTGTTTAAGCGTTAAGATAAAATAATTACATAACGTTGAAAGTTTGTGGAAAGAAGAAAAATGGTAGAAGAACATTACACAAATTTTCTTTCTTAAATGATAACCCTTATCACTTAAAATAAAGGTATGCGTGTTTCAAATGAGCTTTCTTTTAACAACATTTTCTGATTAATATACATATTTTTGCAAGGACAGTATATCAATGAATTTGAATAGGATACTAATCATAACAATGTTGTATTTCTAAATTTTTGGGAAATCGGAGTGGGTCGTTTCTGGTTTAATCAATACAATAAATTGACTCGTTCAGTGATAAATCACAAGTATGGACTCATCATATTTTGCACATTTTGGATAGGATTAATTTTGCAAAATTTTGAGATCATGTCATCAATTTTTTGGAGGCGATAAACGGATATATTTTGATTAAAAATGCAACATGGTACTGCAAGATTTTAAAGCATTCATTTCTGCAGTTCTTGATTTAATCAATAAAATAAATTGACTCCTTCATTAATTTTTTTTAGTCACCGTGTATAAGTAATTCTAAAAACTATGAGCGCGTTCATAAACTGTAAGTATAGAATTATAATATTTTGCATATTTCAAAGACAAATTACTTACTTGTACCTGCTAAGATAAGAGTGATTTTGGCAAATGACATATCCTCTAAGAAAACACCGGGCGGGTGGGCGGGGCTACTAATTGCGAAGGCAAAACTGATTTTGGTAAATGATACCTTTCATTTGTCATAATTTTAATACGCACTAGCCCAATCCACCCACCTTTCTTTTCTTCGAGGGTATGTTATTCGCCAAAATCAGTATTACCTTAACAAGTACTATCCTCGCCCACCCGCCCTTTATTTTCTCAGACCTCTGTTTTCTTATAGGTTATATCATTTGAAAAAGTCAGTCTTATCTTAGTAAATACTAAGATGATGGTGTCGGACCAAATTTTTTGAAGTATTCGGTTTCAAATTTAAATTTTTACAGTATTCTAAGGATTGTCATATTTTAATTTGGCGATTCTGGAAAAATTCCAGAAATTTGGGGAGAAATAAACCTGAAAATAAATTCTGGGGGTCGAAATTAACAAAAAAACTTAAAAAGTTTATAACGTATTGGGAGAAAGGTCAAAAACTTCGTATGATAGGTACCTACTGAAAAAAACATCGTTAGTGTGTTGATCGTTCCGGATCAGAATTTTCGAAATATTCTGTTTCAAATTCAAACTTTTACGATATTCTAAAAATTGCCAAATTTTATTTTGGGGATTTTGGTATAATTCCAGGAATTTTGGGAAAAAACGTAACCAAGAACAACTTCTGGTCGTCCAAATCAACCTAAGATTTTCTTTAAATAGTTATCAAAGGTGCTCAAACGAGGTCAAAAATTCCAGACAGGAGGTATAGAAAAATTAACATGTTAGTGACGTTGCTTGAAAATTCACTAAAAGTTCTGGGAAATAGAAGATCTTGACGAACTTAATTGAAAAACAGCGACTTGATGGTCTTGGACCAAAGTTTTCGGAATATTCTGTTTGAGTTTTAACAATATTCTAAGGAATGTCATGAGAAACGACGCTGAAAACAATTTCTGGAGGTCGAAATCAACAAAAAATGTTTTTTCGTAATTTTTGAAAGTGGGCGGGGAAAATAAAAAATTTCATATGAGAGGTACTGAAAAATTAAGATTTTAGTGACGGTGCCTAAAAATCCACCAAAAATTCTAAGATATGGATCTCGACATAGCGTGGTGATGGTCCTAGACCAGATTTTTCAAAATATTAGATATCAACTTAAATTCTTACAATATTATAAAAATGGTCATTTTTCGAAGGTGTTTAGGTAAGGTCAAAATTTTGAAATGACGTGATCAATTTTGTCAACGATAAAAGAGATAAAAGATGTCAGAGCATTCGGTTTTGCAGTTTCAAAGTTAAATTGCGAAATATTGTCATACAATTGTGAATTTTTCTGGATGTTCATTTTCATACACCACATGTATCTTATTCTATAAAATTAAAAAAATACTATTATAAATTTTGACAATGACATCACCCCACTGGTGGTGCGGATGATTAGTCAAATTTTGGTTAGCGTTTTACCATCTACATGATATACCTAATATAAATACAAAATTTGACAACAATCGATCCAGCAGTTCGGAGATTATTTGTCTAATAAAAATCCGCACAGACGGCAGACAGACAGATAGGCGGAAACGGGAGATCTATTACTGCGTGCTCTGGCGGTCATGCAAGGTCTAGAAAATATAAAAGTAGGGGGTCGCTCGCTGCAGTCGATTTTAGCTTGCGATGGAGAAAACAATTTAAAGAATTAAGACTGAAGAGACTCAACTTCGAGGAAGATGAACTGAAGTAGGAAACGATGCACTGTACAGAAATAGAAAAATGTTTAAAGTCAAAAATGAAAATTATGCACAAAATAACCATAAGGCTATATGTATCAAGTAGATTAACTGAACAAGAGGAAGAACACTTGAAAATTAAAAAAAAAAGATAATAAGAAAAATAATTCGGACCAAACATATTTAATGAAAAGGAAATATAATCTTCGATAAATGGCGAAATTGGATGGAATACCATGACATAGTCAGAGTATTAAAAGTCCAGAGAGTTATGAACATATGTATAAAGAGAAGAGAGAAGAAAAACGCTATAAAAGTGATAAAATAATGGATGTTACCGGGAAACAAGTAAGGGAAGACCACAATTAAGATGAAAAGAACAGGTAGAACAGGATTTAAGAAAGTGAAGATACAAGGCATGGGCAAAAAGATAAAGTTTTAAAGAAGAGAAATAAAAAAGAAAATAGACTGATCCTCCAAAAAAAGATTTTCAAGTGAAAATAGCTGCAACTTCCGCGGGAGTGTATAACCTGTGCTGTATATACTGTGACTTAAAAAAAGACCCGTGGCTGTCTTATTTTTTCGAGTACAACATTGTAGGATATGCCAAATTAAATCGTATAATAATATACTACATTTTGATTTGAAAAATTACAGTTTGATGCTGATTTGTTTTTGTCTACGACGTTCAACTTTTTCATATTTTCGTCAAAAATTTGTGGTAGAAATTAAAATCAAAAGTTTGTCTCAAGATGGCTGCTTTTATTGGTGCACTTTCATCAATAAACTATCCTTAATAACGTATCGTAGAGGTAGTGCAACATTTTTGAACACCTTATAATTATATATTGTCTTTGTAATTTCTATTTAAACACCACATTACTTAAAATTTAACAATTGATAACATCTTTCGGTTAATTGTAAACGGTTTTTAGTTATAGAAGTGTCTGAATAAGAACGATGGCAAATACTATATATGACTGGTGTTCAGTTGAAAAAGCCATCACGTTGGCATAGTTTTTTTTACATACTTCACAGTGTTCATTAAAAATCAAGGCCAACTTCATGATATTCTCAATTGAACACTCAATATATATAATTTTAAAAGTTAACGGAATACCGGTATAACAACACAAAAATATTTAAGTTATATTAGATTATGTACACGAGCCTTACAGACACTTCAGTTAAATTCTTCGTGCAGTAGAACAGATACGGCCATGTTTCACATTTGATGACTGCTAGCTCTCAGTTGAGGATCGGCAATTTAGAGCTTTATGGATTAGGGGTTTAACAACTTATAGAAAAAGAATATAATGCACTCATTCATTATTATTCCGCTTTGGTACTGTCGATTAACGATTAGTCATTAAGGTTTATTTTTGTTCAAGGCTCTAACTGTCACTTTCCTATTGTGATGTTTTAGTGATCTCACTGAGTGATCTAAGTGACAAGGAAGTATAGTTACATCAACAGAAGCAACTCTTGGTACTATATTTAAGTGTTGCCTACTATACAGATCTAAAAATTCAGTTGAACATGTAAGTTCTGAAATATCTTTATAATCACGTACCTAGTTTTCGATTTGTAATCCGTAAAATCGTAAGCCGGATAAATCAAAAACCAAATTTTCTAAAATAGTTTCGAGTATTTCAGCGAAAGAACTACAAAGAGTTTCATCAGGACAGTAATCTTGTGAACTCAAATCTGCGGCTTCCTTCGTTTGATTTTAAATAGATTTCTGAAGGATTTTTATCAAATCCTGTTTTGTCTCTACACTTTTGTAACTTATATCCCATTCCTTTTGTTCCATGCAATATACGTGGAAGACCGCCCGATTATTTTGTTAATAACACCGCATGTTCTCCAGAACTTGATCAAACCTCTACACGACTCTCTCCGGAAACTTTCATACCTGTGCCTACTATTAGAAGTAAAACAGCCACAATGACAAGAACACACGGAGGTATCATCAGCGTCTAGGGAAGTGGTTTCTGTACAATGATGGCCCATTTGGCCGCTCAAAATCGAGCCATTGGCCGTGATGACGTCGCCCTCGAGTCTCACAGCCCCGGCCAGAGCCTGCAAATGTATTTCTCGATGATTGCTTTTATGAAAAAACTCAATACAGACCTGCATAGCTTGCGCCTCGTCCCTCCTCTCATCTTCCGTGTTCATCGTGACGAAGCGAAGAACGAGCAAGTTCAATGAAGCCGCTACAATGGCCAAGCCAAACAGGATGAAGATGAGCGCAAACATGACGTACTCCGGTTTTTTACTGAGAGCATTGTCTTTCTGAAGTGCTACCTGAAAATGCATGTTTCGGGTTAAAAGTCCTCGACGGTGGCGGTTTTGTGTAGCAGGCCGGTTTGCTTGCTGGTGGATGCTGGATGTCGAGTGTCGATTTAATTATATCGCGAGGATTTCTGTGTGGTTTTTGCGTTTTTTCTTTCTGGGAAGAAGTTATGTGTGGTAAATGTTGGAATGCATTTTTGTTAATGTTCAGTTATTTTTTTAATGAAAGTGTTTAATATTTTAGTGGTGGCAGAACCGAAAAAGATATGTCTTTGAGGTCCTGTTAAAGAAATACAACAATATATACAAAACGGTTACACCACCGTTCTTTGTACATATGTAAAAATAGTTTGTTTAAAAATGTACATTTAACATTTATTTAGCGGTCAACCGAAAAGACTTATACAGATACTTATCCTAGTATAATAAAATAAGTAATTAAATCCATTATAAATCAATGCACCAGATTACCCAGCTTAATGTAAAACATAATTTTCAAAAGTGCATAAACTAACATTAAAATAAAGACATAATAGAAACACAGTTTAACTTTAGAAATAACTTGGTCAGCAGAGAACTATTAATTGCTGTCAGGGTTCACCTACAAAGATGCGGGAACATAAACAAAGATCTATATGTCTGTTTTTTTTTGACTAGAACAAGACATTTGGTACTGTTCAATCTAAGTGTCCAACACGGAAAAAGGATATCAGTATTAAAAATCTCAAATTTAGATGTCAGAGACACAAGGCTGATAGACAATCTGCCCTGGATCCAGAAAGCAAAGATTAAAATAGAGGATCGACCATCAAAATATTTAAGGGGAGATGCCAAGGATGTGTTTTGAGACAATATTTAAACAAGCACTTGAAAATTGTGATAAACAAATCGTAATTGGTGGAAAGGTAATTGATAATAATCTGCGCTGTGCAGGTGATACCTTATTGTAAACTAACAATACAGAGGATATGCAGGACATGCTACTCGTAAATATGATCACTATTAGTACGTTTTTCCAGTCCTAGTATAAGGAAAGCACTGTCATTCTGTTTCGAGCTGCCGTCAACAAGGTTCAAATAATGCTAATGACCGCCAACCTTTCTTAAAGAGGAAACACAAGAAGAAAAAGAAATACTCCCGTAATGAGTTTTTAAACATGTTTATTAGGCAGCGTTTTTATTTTGATACCGGATCACTATTAATGAATGAAATAAATTTTTGTGTTGGTAATTCTGTATTATTGGCATCCATGCTAGTATGTTAGTTCACAGTTGTCAATTTTGACATGAGTACGTCTAACAAAATGTGTTGATTGGTTGAGACAAAGGCAGCTGTGATAAAGTCACTTTGACCATCAGGTATGGCATCTTAAAATTTTAAATACGTTGCCAACCTGACAAAAAAACTTGCAAACATTAATATTACTCGGTACATTTTAAAACAAAGTGTAATACGAATACAACAAAATATTTTTATCTTGAGGTAAAGAATGACTTAATTTTCAGTATTTTCTTGCTCTTTTTGGGTATACTTTTAAGATTGGTAAAAAAGAAAACCAATTTCCTGGGAAAAATTATTTTTGCAGTTAAGTTCTGTCACATGTAAGAATAAGACACTTCATTAGTGGATTACCATGTACTAAATATTTTTTTTTGTTGTGAACATACAGGGTGTTGACCCGATACATTTTTTGGAGGCAGAAATTGAGAATTGCCATCTCAATCAATCTCTTGGTCGGACTGAAAAAACTTCGACAATAAATTTATCTTATTCTAGACGGATTTAAAGAAATAAACGTTAAAATTTTATTACTCATCTGAAAACTTATTGATAGATTAATTAATCTAGTAAAAAGTCAAATGAGCAGCATATTACTAAATAAATTTCATACCCCACTACTCCCACTAGATGTAAATCATTTATGAACACTTTGTATTTCACGATGTTTATCTAGAAGTCTGTCGGATTCTTTCGGATCTTTCCGGATTATTTCAAATACTCTTCAATTCTCTCGCCTTCTATATTCTTTGGAATTCTTTCGGATCATTTCCCATTCTTTCGAAAATTTTGCAATCTATAATAATGATATATTTACGCAAAACCTTTTTTAAAACTCAGTGAACTATTTCTGGATTTTTTTTTAATTTTGCTTTTTTGTTTTTTTCAGGTTTTATCGGATTCTCTAGAAATATCTCGGATTCTTTAGGATTTCGTCGAATTCTCTAGTATTCTTTTGTATTCTCTTCGATATTACTCGGGCTTTTTAGGATTCTCTCGATTTTTTCTGATTTTGTCATATTCCCTAGGAGTCTCTCAGTTCTTTCGTATTCTTACAGATTCTCTCGAAGTTTTTTCGATTCTCTTGGATTTTTTTTCATATTCTTTCGTATTCTTTAATATTCTTCCGTATTCCTATGTATTCTATCGAATTCTCTCGGAGTCTCTCGGATTCTTTTGGATGCCTCCGAAAATTTTACAATCTTTTTTTAAAACTCAGTAGGCTATTTTTGGAAGTTCTAGATTTTTGATTAATAGATTTTTTTAGAAATTTTGGTCTTTTTTTCCTTCCTCTCTAGGAATCATTCGGATTTTTTCGGATTCTGCTGGATTTTCCCGAATTCTCTCTGATTCTCTGGGATTTTTCCGGATTGTAGTGAGTTCTCTGGGAATTTATTTTTTCGGATTTTCTCGAATTCTCTCTAATTTTTTTGGAAATTATTCGTAGTTCGGATTGTTCCGGATTATTTTGAATACTTTCAATTTATTATTTCATATTCTCTTCTATACTTCGATATTCTGTCGGTTTTTTTTATCCTTTTGGATTCTTTAGGATTTTTTCGTATTTTCTAGTGAATTTTTGAAAATATTTCGAATTCTTAAGGATTATGTCAGATTCCCCCGAATTCTCTCCTCTTCTCTTAGTTTTTTTTTGTATTCTATCGTATTTTTCCGCATTCTCTTGAGTTCTCTCGTTTTTTTTTTATCTTTAGAAGTCTGTAGAATTTTTCCGGATTCTCTCGAATACTCTCGGAATATCATTTTGATTTTTTTTCCAAAATCCTACATAGGCAATACTAAAATTATTAAGACCCACCACTGACCCGGAAATGACCGGCATTCAGGCAAGACTTCTATCATTACGGGTACTAAGACCAAGTACCTAATGATATGCATTGATTATTAATTATTATTATTTTGAGCATTTTAGAGAAGATTGATTAATTTAACAAACAAATTAGATGGAAAATTAAAAAAAAGTAGAAGCCATCGAAAGGTTAAACATTAGTTACGAAGTAAGTTATCTGAACTATGTTTGATGGTAGTGTTATAGTACAGGCCAAATATTTGTTATACTATCAACACAAAATGTTTCAGGTTATTTCTAAATTTTATCTAAATATAGACAGATTATTACTACGTATAACTAACGTGAATAAATAAATGCAATATCAAAGTGCGCGTTGACGTTTGCCGCTTTGTTTAAATAGGAACTGTAAATTAAGTTGTCAAACTGACCTTACATATTACTTAGTATGAAGATAGTAAAACCAAGTAGAGTAAATTTGAGGGGCAGATTTACATAGATATTAAATTATGGATGGTAATTTGATGTGCTAGTTATTTGTACATAATTTCGCGATGATTAATTGAAAATTGATAGCAAACCACGATGAGAGAAATGTCAATAAAACTGAACCAAGTATTTTTTGTACCATTTTTACACAGTGTTTACAATCCCGAATTTTAAAAAGCCAAAAAACAATGCAAAGTATTATTTTTTATCCATTAAATAACTATTTATAACATTCTTAAAATCTATGAAACACATGGTTGTGTTCATAGATCTCGACCATTTTGACATGTGTAATGTGAATATTAGCTGCAATGGATTAATGTTGAGGTTGAAATTGTTGCAATTATACTGAATTATAAATGATTTAAATTTGGTATAAGACTGTGTGTATGGTGTGTGACCCAAATTTTAATTTTTATGTGGTAGTAAGCAATAGACATAATAGAGTAACAACGTCCGTGTTTCTGAACCCTTAGTTTCTGGCCCTTTTTTTCTAGCACGTAGTAGACTAATGCGAAAATTGGAGAGATTTTGTTGCGAATTACTTTAGGGTGAATATGGGATTTAAATGTGCGCACAATTATATTTAAGAAGAAGAATTTTTATCAAGTTAGACTGTATGCCAACGCATTAGTACCTGATTATGGTGGAGTGTATCACACCTGTATTGTTTGAATTTAAATAAATTAAATTATCTCTTAATTTTACTTTTATTTATTATTATTTTGCATTTTTCCCCTTTGCAGGCGTTTCACCACGTATATTATTAAACACTTTATTTGTATTTTATGAAATTACATTATGATTGTTTTATTTTCAAATACCTAACACCTAGGTAAATAACAAACTGATGTTAATTTCCCTCCGTTTCGCGTCGGTTTACAGGAAAAATAGAACGGCGCGCCATATTCTTGCGGTTACGACTCTAATCAAGTTTCGCGTTTGGTCTCAGAAACAAGCAGCGATGCTTGTTTTGTAACTTGATGTAAAGAATTTCGAGGGTTTAGTCGACGACGGTCTGGGGAACATTTACGATATTTATTACTGCGAACTTTGGAACGGGTAAATAATTAAGGGTTGCCGGTCTTCCAATTGCGCGCTACGTGGCCCTTTCATAACTCGATAAAACTTGGGCCAGGGTCTATTCTTTTAAATGAAATTAATTGGAGAAAAATTAATAACGAGCACGCAAAATGCTTTTCTTAAGTGTATCATAATTTATTCAGAAGTTGAGATGTTAATAATTAAATTTTTCGAGAATATTTTGAGTTGCAAAGTTGAGATTCTTCGTCCGAAAAACCGACACAAAATTTCTACCATCGTAACATACTTTATCGTTTAGTTAGCGGTTTAGAGAATTTATCAAGCAAATTATGGCAGTAATATCGTATAAAAACACCAGTATTCACGCCCGTTGTTGATAAAATATTATCCACTT